TTCGCCAAGAAGATCCGGTACGAGGTGCGCAAGCTCAACGCCGAGAAGCGGCCGCGGATGAAGGGCCGGTTCGTCAAGCGCACCGCGCTGCCACCGCTGCCGCCGCGGCCGCCGATGGTGCTCGCGGGCCACGGCCACGGCGGCGCGCACGGGCGCTTCCGTTTTTGAAAGCAAGCGCTCGATCGTTCGTCCGTGGATGCAGCCGCATGCATGCACGCCTGTGCATGCACCGTCCTCGCCGCCGCTCGAACGATAATCCGCTAATAAAATACACTTCACCTACGTAGCTCGTTCTTTCTTGCTAGTTTTGAGCAGAAACCTCTGTGAAATAGGACGCCCTCACCACGTACGTACGACTGAATATACACTCGTAGAATTTCATGTGCAAAGTAAGTAGTAGCTATGTACTGCAAGCATCTGTATATACGTTCCATGGTTTAGGGTTATTGTTGTTGTTGTTGTTACTTTCGTCGTTTTTGTAAGGAAGTTGTACTGATTACAAAGGTTGTACTGTAGATGTTGATCTCAAAACGTAGGAGATACATTCATGGTACAATAGAGTTAGGGTGGGTAAGGACTTGTAACTGAGAATGGTAGAGGGAGATCAAGCCTAGTTGGTGTATGTCAATGCATGCCTTCCAGCCTTTCATTCCTGATGTGTTGGGTAGCCTCGAACCAGCAGGGCACAATCTCTGAATCACAATCACAATGTGCTTATTTGTAAGTCTAGAAATCTGGTATTTTCTACTGGTGTAAAGGTTGCATGTCTTTTTTTTCTCTCGATCTAAACGTCTTGACACTTTGTATGTAGATATATATGAAATTTTTCGCTAGCTTTGCATCTAGTAGCTATAGACTGAAGATCATGCCATTCACATATCTTAACGCCTCTTCGATTCAAACAATTTCTAAGGGCTCATTCAGTTTACAGGATTTCCGATCATAGAAACAGGAAAAGTAATAATAATTAGGGTGGCCTCTTTTCCTTAGGCTTTGGTTCAATAATGGTAAACACAACCTTAATCAGAATGGGATTGCGTAGGATGTACTTCACATATTTGTCGGAAATCCTCAGCATAATTTATAATCTCCACATATTTATTTCGCTGTGACAATGCATCGAAAATTACAAAACCAGCTCTTTGGATCATCTCTTTGAAATTCACGGAAATTTGAAGAGAGATGAGGTTCATGCAACCGATCTCGTGTTACAATTATTTCAAAATTCCTCGGGTTTGAGTTATCTAGTAGGATGTCTATTTCTACAACCTGATTCATATGGTCATAGGGGTATCCTTAAGAAAATTTCTAATGAATTAAAATCCTAACCCTTTGTTTCAACAAGTAAATCTAGATCATGTTACCAATCAACTTTTGCGATGTGGTGTATAAGGTTATTTCAAAAATGGTTGATGCTCGCTTGAAGATAATTCTATCAGATATCATCAGCCCAACTCAGAGTGCTTTTGTGCCTAGAAGAATGATTACAGAAAATATTTTAGTGGCAAATGATTGTTCCCACACAATAAAGAAGAAAGGGCGGGTAAAGAAGGCTTGTGTGCTATCAAACTGGACATGCACAAAGCATATGGCCGAGTGGAATGGTGCTTTTTGAAGGAAAATTTGTTGAAACTGGGATTCGAAGAAAATTGGGTGGATTTGTGTACCTCTGTGGAGTACCGAGTTCGTTTTAATGTTGAAGAGACTGAGAGTTTTAAACCTACTAGAGGATTGAGGCAGGGGGTCCTCTCTCTCCCTACTTGTTCTTGTTATGTGCGGAGGGCTTGACCACCCTCTTAGCTAACACGGAGAAGGGTAATATTTCCGGTATTAAGGTTAGCAGAGACGCCCCTTCAATTTCCAATCTGCTCTTTGCCGATGACTCTTTGATCCTTATGCGAGCCAACACCATGAATGTGGAGGCTTTGAGATCAGTTATGGATTCTTATTGTGCCGCCTCGGGGCAAATGGTGAGTGTCGAAAAATCTAGCATATTTTTAGCCCCAGTACAAACGTGGAAGACAAGGCGCAAATTTGTACTATTTTGAATATTCTGACTGAAGCCCTCAATGGTAAATATTTGGGTTTGCCTGCCAATGTGGGTATGGACAAAAGCGGTTGTTTTCTGTTCCTAGTTCATCGAATTATTATGAAAAATAGTGGATGGAAATAAAAATTATTATCTGCGGGGGGGAAGGAAAAATTGTTCAAACCTGTTGTACAAGCTATTCCCACCTATGCCATTTTCGTCTTTAAAGTTCCTACAAAAATTTGCAAAGGAATCATTGACGCGATGTCGCAATTTTGATGGGGTGACGAGGACAATCGAAAAAGGATGCATTGGATGGCGTGGTGGAAGATGTGTGTTCCAAAAGATCAAGGATATATGGGCTTTAGAGATATAAATTGTTTTAATCTGGCATTGTTAGCTAAACAAGGTTGCCGTCTTTTGGATAATCCTGATTCCTTATGTGCAAAAATCTTCAGAGCCAAGTATTTCCCTGAGGGTGCTTTGATGAATGCAAATTTAAGAAAGGGTCCTCTTTTACTTGGCAAACATTATGCCGGGAGTCAACTCTCTCAGAAAAGGTTATATATGGCGAGTTAGGAATGGACAAACTATTGATATTTGGCGAAATGCTTAGATCCCGAATTGTGCAAATAGAAAAAGTATTACTCCTAGACGAGGGCACCTTCTGTCAAAGGTTTATTATGATCCTATTGATCCCGTCATGAATTTTTGGGATGAAGATTTGATGAGACAAACGTTGTGGCCAATAATTGATGCTCAACGAGTCCTTGTGATTCCCCTCCCTATGCATAATATGCTGGATTTCATTGCTTGAATACAAAAAATACTTTATTTACTGCTCGATCAGCTTATTTGAAGGAATGGAAACAACAACATGGGAGGAAATTGCAATACACAAATGGTATGGATAGAAGCAAGGTCAATCCTATTTGAGGTAAGGTCTGGAAATTAGCTTGTCCAGCAAAGGTAAAAATATTTATTTGATGTATGAATCCTCGCGCGTCGTGTTACGCTTGCTAATAGATACATGAAAGTTTTGTCCATCATGCTCGAATGGTCCAGAGGAAACAAAACATGTTTTGTGTCAGAAGGCAAAAAAGATGTGGGATAAGTTGGGGATGTACAAAGCGATTAAGAAAGCTTGTGTTATTGATTATGCGGGAGAGGCCGCACTTGAATTACTACTCATGCCAGATCAAGAACTGTCTATTTTGGGCCCCAATGCGCTTGAATTGATCGCTATAACTGCTTGGTATTTATGATGTGATAGATGTAAGCTGGTTCATGAGGGTAAGTTTCAAGAGGGGTGTATGAAGCCTCGATGGGGATTCAAGTTATAACGGCAAACTATGTAAATGCCCACTCCCCTAATACTACTAGGTGAAATGGAGGATGGAGCAGACCTCCTAAGGGGTTTTGTTAAGCTGAATGTGGATGCTGCTTACGCCTTACGGGCACAATCGGTGTTGTAATCAGGGATGATAAAGGAAAATTCATTATTGAAGAAAATTGGATGATTGATTGGTGTGCTGATGTTCTGACAGCGGAAGCGTTGGCGCTTAGGTTTGACTTATTATTGGCACAAAAGGCATGCTGCAATCGTCTCATGATTAACTCTGATAACATGGAAGTTATTGACACGATGAAGAATAGAGGACATTCTGCAAGAGTGGCGGCGGCAGTTTTTGATGATTGTTGTTTTATGGCAGGTGATTTTTCTTTTACTAGTTTTGAACATTGTAATAGGGAAGCAAATAAAATAGCTCATGAACGGACATGAAGTATCTGCTCCCGAGCTCAAATGCACCCTGATGAATAGTAAAAGAAAAGTAAAGCAATTCAAAAAATTCTGAAATTATTTTGTGGTAAATTTTGACAAATGTTTTGTATGCTTGCAAAATTTCAACACGGAAGGACATTCGAGGAAGTCATGAAAAAAACGATGCTCCAAACATGCTAGTTTTGAAAATATTTTGGAGTACTTTTTGTTTGCCACAACTTCCACGAAATGTCATTTCGTGCTGCAATTTGTTAAACATACAAAACATTGTTAAACATACAAAACATTTTTAAAATTTTATCACATTTTTTTTGAATTTTTTATATATTTTGAATTTTACCGTGGTGCATTTGAGCTCGGGATCAGAATAGGACTTTCACTCATGAACTTGCTAGGTTCGTGAAATGTTCCATGACAAAGGATTGGTTCGAGGAGCCTATGGAAATATTGTACCTCTTCTTATAGACAATGTAACCATTGTTTCTAATTAATAAAGGTGTTGTTTTTCAAAAAAAATCATGTTACCACACATTCATTCCATGAGTATCAGTATAGCACTCAGTACTGATATGGAGGAGAAAAGAACGACCATCATATTCCCTTTAACTAAGAGAGCGAGAGAAAGCCCAGCAACGAAAGTTCTTATGCCCCTAAAACTAGGATAACAGAGCCACCAAAAATGAACGCGAGAAAGGCAATATATATTCTTAATGGCATCTCTGGATGAGATGTAGGTACATCAAATAAGACACAGGTGCGATATTTGTGTCAAAGCGCAAATGAAATTGTGGTATTTTGTCAAAAGAAATCTTACACTACTGGACGGGGAGAAAAATGACATACCAAATCCTTCTCAAACAAAACAAAAAGTGACTGCTGAAATTGCACAACCTCATCCAGAGAATATGTCAACGACATGATAAAATCAACAAATATGTGGACAGCAGAAGACAAAGAATTGAATCTGCTGCTCTGTTACAAAAAGACCCGGTGAACTGATGATACTATTGGGCTTACTTACTAGCTAGACTGTCTTTCAATAGGAAAATACATCACACCTCTGTTAAACATACATTCTCAGTTCTCTCGGTACAAAGGAACTGCTCAATATAACTCTACATGCTGGAGTTAGTGTGCTACATACAATTGATGTACACGACCCATACCATTTACAAAATGGGAAATTAACTATTTCTCAATACCTTGCTGCAAGTATTGAATCAAATCGTACCCAGCGGTGGTCCATTTGTTGTAGGCATCAACACATGTCCGTACCATGAAATTGGCCGCCTCGCGCTCATTCATCTCTGGATGAAACCGCTTCCGAAGATTAGCAATGGGCTCTCCCCTGCTAAAGCAAGGGAGTCCACTGTCCACCATCAACTGTACTGTAGTTACAATGCCATTCATGTGTCTCCTTCCCGCTAGGTATCCCTTGACACACAGTCTGGACAGACAACATTGTAATCAGAATAATGCAGTGCAAGGAGAAGGTCAATGCAGTCCATGGATTCGTACAAACTACGCTTCATATAGTGTTCAGTATCGTTTTCCAAACATCGTAGAAAGTTTGCAGACGGACAATCTCCCTCCACAAATTCATACTGAGAGGGATAGCTACAGTTTGCATAACTTTATGTACAAAAGGTCGCCCAACTTTTTTTCCCTCCCCTTGCATTTTCTAGGCATAATTTTCTCTACAAAATGTCCCAACCTATATTTTCTATGCATAATTTTATCTACAAAGGTCATGACTTTCTTGCCTAGCTCCCTCGCCCTCATGGTGGAAAAAGTGTATCAAGCTTGCATAAATTGCAGAGACATGTACTGCCTCCGTTCCTAAATATATCTTTTTAGAGATTTCAATTGAGACTATATACGGATGTATATAGACATATTTTAGTGTAGATTCACTCATTTTGCTCCGTATGTAGTCCGCACTGGAATCTCTAAAAAGACTTATATATAGGAACAGAGAGAGTATTAAAGAGTCACTCCCAATTACAGTTTGCTAGAACTGTGAAAAAATTGCATACCTGAGAAACTGATTCCAGGTGTCACTCTTCATAGTTCCAGATGGATCAAGCAATTGAGTCATCTCATGGCTTAGCTTGAAATGTGCACTCTCAAACCCCATGTTACCTCCAGGGGAAATCTCCAAAATAAATCCGAAATCAATATGAACTAGTCTCCCCTGGCTGCATAAGCAAGGTGATGGTTAAGTGATAATTCCAGCTTTACGCGGTTAATTAATTATATAGGACTAAGTTAGAACCTATCAAAGAGAAGATTGCCATTATGCCGATCCTTCGGTTGAAGAAGCAGGCTGGCAACAGCATATCCAGCACTACTAACAATAAACATTTGACGTGCAGCTTCAAAAGAAGGTGACCCTACAGGGCCATAATCTTGCTGAAATATTTCTAATAAACCACCATCAGTTGTTTCACCCATTTGATTTCTACTCCGAGTATTTGGGACAACCTGCAGCATGCTCAGGTTAAGATGTATGAACCATACAGGAAAGCAAGAACAACAGCCAATAACTCTTTCCAAGACCACTAGTTGGTTACGTAGTCCATAGGGTGAAAAATGAAACAATTGCAGGTCTATGCTGACCTCAATTATGCCTCGTTCAGGGCCAGTGGGCAAAACACCATAGGGAAAGAGATACAGGTTTAATCCGACTGCTTCAAATATGTCCCTTAATAGGGCAATAACTTGAAGGGCCAGCACATCCTGCCTACAGTCATCACCAACCTGTCATAGCATAGAAAGTTGCTTGTAAGAACTGTCAAGCACAGTGAACGATATAAGATTACCAGGACAGGATGAAAAATTATAACATTATCAGAAAGACGTCGTAGACATACTACCTTTTCAAAGTCCTGAACTACAAGTCAACTAAAATGAACTTGACCTCACTTTTAATTAGTTTACACTCGACCGAAGTAATTTGTGTACCTTTATCATTATAAAAAAAAAAGGGCAGCCCGGTGCATGTAGCTCCCGCTTGCGCAGGGTAACCTTTATCATTATGCCTACAATATTGTTTATGGTGTAAATTATAATGACGCAATTGATCAAGGTCATTTTAGTATTTCACCATGTTACCTATAGTCCACATGATAACCATATTGTGGCAATGATAAAAGTGTATTTACAAACTGTCATGTCAAAGGAACTATTACGGTCTGTTGCCAGCAAAATCAGAATGAGAAATGAGCCATGTTGATAGCTAGCTTTTAGTTGCACAAAACCACGACAGCAGCACAGAAAGGCTGTAATCAAGCCTAAAAAATAAATTGTGTACAACTGCACCCAGAAAGCATATGTTTCAGTAGGACATGCACGCGTGTGTGCATGGGTGTGGTGGTGTGAGTGTCTGCAGTCTTCACTTGTAACTTTTTTAGAGAACATGCGAAAAGTAGCTGCATATCACGTATAAGTACCCAGGTGACAATGAAATGAAACTAATAATGAGATTATCAGCAGTGAACAATGTGACTGAAACATGGTGGGAACTTTCAGTGGTAACTTTGTAAAATTGCCCACCCGGTTTTGTAGAGGTGAAGATATTTCTCAGGTCAAGGTTCCTACCACAATTGATGTACCTCAACAAATTTAGCACTCTTTTTTTCCTAACCTCAAGCTGTATGTTTTTGTATCAAGAGAATGCAAGACACCAAAAAAACACTGTACAGTTCCCATGGGAGCCTCTGATCATACTTGAGAAGACTGTTCCCAACAGCCGCAGGTTGTATAGTGGTTTTAATTATGCTGGTCATCAGCTTATGACATGATTTGAAAATCGACGCTAAGCTTTCCAGGTCCTTGCTATATAGGCACACATCGGTTTAAAACCTTGGTATGGAGTCAGCAATCTCATTGTCCTTCCAAAGACGGAAATGTGAGCTGAGGTTTATGTTCCCATAATAATAGATAAATACACATGACCCAGAATTATAGGTTTACGCCCATGAAAGAAATTAGTTGCGCAGATTTCATTGCGACAAAAGAATTATTTACCTTAAAAATGCAAGCCTGTGGCATTACATCATTTGGGTTCCCGTCACGATCAATCACATTAAAAGTAATCATTATTGGAACTTTTGCGGCAGACTGGAGAGGAATACCACTGTCCAGCTGTATGCCCCGTACTAACTTGTTCGTTGCAGTAGGTAGATAGAGGTCGTCACCTGGAATAGTAATCTTCTCCAGCTCCCTGCATTAAGAATTCAAAATGATGAGTTCACTAGCACAAATTTCCAGATGAGAAGTTCTCTTGGTAGTAGGGTCTTAGTTCTTCAACAAAACACAAGAATGAAATTTCTATAAATACCTTTTAATACCAGCTCTTCGCTCTTCCTTGGGGAGAGGGAAAAGAACACCAGAAATTGAGGTGACCTTGTCAAAAAAATCAAACTCTCTTTCAAACATGTCCCGAGCTTCCTGAGTGAAACCGTCAACAATTTTCTCCCTAACAGCAGGAAGCAAGGACTGGAATGCATTGGGCTGAAAAAAAAATGTTTAACATTATACACATTACCTTCAAAGCTTGCAATGTGCTTTGGCAAAACAGCACACATTACTATGACTAAGTTACAAGATAAGAAATGACCAAGACAAGATTTTACTCAGAAAATGTTGTGCACTAGGCTAGAAGAGGCACTTGACCCTGGAAGCAAGTTAGATATATAGAGATCACGGGGATCCTCTCCCTAACTTGGTGCTGGGTGGGCCATATACAGTACGTACAAAACAGAAAAGCATCAGACTAACAGGGTGACACATACAAGACATAGAGTCCTATGTTCATGCCTACTGTAAGTCTGAATATAATATGGATTCTTCCCATTCAAAATAACATTGCACGACTTAACTGTTCAATCCATCATTTATTCACCACTACAACAGCTTTACTTGCAAAAACAATGGAAGTTAATTTCATGAAGCGCATGAGTCAAAAGTAAACAAACATTTCATAAAATCTTTCAGGTGCCTTATCAAATAAGCACAACCCTGATTACAAACTAACATTCTTGCTGTCCCTCAAGCTTATTAATTTATGGGGAACCAACCGTTACAAGGAACTTCCATAAAGGGGCTGTAATGGATTCTTTGGGTAATGCAACAGGATACTTTGAAACCCAAAGGACAATGAAAGGAAGATTCCAGCTACAGAAAGATGACAAGGTGTTGTACCTTTGGGGCAGCTCCTTCCTTTTCATTGTCATCTTCCTCACATTCCCCCTGGAATTTCCAGTTTGCAAATGAACAAGAAAGTCAGCGAAGAATTTCCCAGTAGGAATATGGGAGAATAAAATAAAATTTATATCTTCATTTGAACAAACACAAGTTCCCATAATTTTAGAAATATAGAAAATACAAACTAAATAATTTCACCTGCAGATGCCATATTAAGATGTGAGCAAATATATTACTTCTTCGAGCAGCTCCAAGCAAGTATCCTTCAACTAATTTCTGATGAGATAAAAGGCAAGGAAAAAAAGAGAAGCGCATTATTATTTTTAAGAAGGTGACATGTCTTCTACAAGGAATAATAAATCAAAATGCAGATTTAATTATTACTACCTCCGATCCAAAATAAGTGTCGCAGTTTTGAACTGTAGTTAGTTCAAAACTCAAAACAGCGACACTTATTTTGGATCGGAGGGGGTAGTATTTTTTTCTGGTCTGCACTGATAGAAACACATAGAAGAAATTCTCACCCCATCATCGTATCTGAGAGACTGTACCAACTGTGGCATAAAAAAGGTGACAGTCTCAGGTGGATAAGTCTCCATGACACGAAGAACATATGCCATAACACGGGGATGTCCTTTATAAGGAGAGGTAAAAAACTCCAATGCCTGCGTAACAGAACACGGAGCCCAGTGTGGAAGTTGCTGTAACAGTGCTGAGTTTTCGTCCACTGCCTTTGGAGTGATGAAAAACGGTAATGCTTCAGGAATTGTACGGAGCTCCAGTATGTGTGTCTGCAAAGACAAAAAAAATGATATGGCAATTCACCCTTATCCCTGAAACTGAACAGATGGTAGGGCTAAAGATGCTCAATATAGAATGAAGCACTTCTTTTTCAACACGAATGAAGCACATTAGACGCTTCATTTAATGGTCACATGCATTGAAGCATAAGCTTAATAATGTGAGAGCATCCACTAGTTACAAACTTCCAGTATTGAAGCATTGAAACTGAATCTGTAATCGACGGTCTTCCTAGCAAACCAGACCAGACAGTACTTCGGCTCTGGTTGAACCTGTCTGGTTCGGTTTTAATGACTATGGTTAAAGGTAAGGGGAAAGTAATCTAGAAAAATGTAAGATAATGACAAGAAAATAAAAGGCTGAAAATGCTGAGCTTGCAAGCATCACACAGTGCACTTTCTTATCTTCAGATAAGATTTTTCTCATGCCATTTAAATATCCAGATGTCACACCCAAAAGAAACTGAAACCATAATAGCCCAAGCCAGCAGTATGTTATATTAGGTATCATGATTAACAAGACATAACTGCCAGTTCGTCATTTTACCACAATATGAATTTTACCTCCATAGGTAAGGCAGCCAACATAACATTGTCACATATCTATCCTTGTACTTATACATTTTTCTGTAGTTGATACATTCAAGATATCCTAACTAATTCATTTCTGATTTGCCATTTGACTACATACTAATAAGGGGGCAAACAGATCACAGCAATGCCCTTAAAATAGTGGCAACTCTGGTTAGGCAGTGATTAACATTATTGCATGTTATTCTAAATTAAGTATATTCATGACTACATTTCCCTGACTAATTTACAAATCTTTAAGAGTAGATAATTATGAAAGATAACATCTTCAGCTAACATTAAGTTGCGAAATGCAACAAGAGATAAATATTACATTTCCTGTGAATGAATGCCTACAGTATAGATGAAATGCGGAGATATTCCAAAAAATAACTTAAATGTGAAGAAAGGGACACAGTGGAGAACTATATCTGAAAGGCAGCAGCTATAGGCAAGAACCATACCTGTACCAACTGAGTAATTTCAGACTGCAATGTTGCATTTGTCGGAAACCTCATAGGCATAGAGAGTGCAATTCGAGGATCAACAGCAAAAGCAGTTCTGCAGTGATCAATCCATTTGTCTGAGCTAATTTTGCCACGAAATGTTGACGTGTCTCTGCCCAGATATAATATGCAACACATGTGAGTTTAAACTCATAACACAAATAAGAAACAATAGATAACATAATATCACAGTAGTAGTTACTTTGTGTTTATTGGTTGTGCCCAGACTTCAAGCCTGTCCGCCTCATTCTGAGAAAGCATCAAAAGTAATTGCTTGCGCTTTTCTTTCGCAGTTGCATAGTTATCCACAGAACCCCACACTGGGTGGATCTGATCCGCCTGCCACCAAAGGGAAAACAAGAGAGAAATGTTAAGCTTTTCATCACATAGATAATAGAAGTGAATGCCACAGCACCCCAATGGGCACATGCGTGCAAGGAGGGCAGCAACAGCAATATTAACTTATTAAGCGTAGCAGCAAATTAGGTCCATGCATTAGGTTATATATTACTTTGTTAGTCACATTCAACAATCCATCTTTATCTACTGCTTGCATTCAATATTCAATTGGTCATCATATGTAAGAACTCCTATAAGTAGAGTTGATCTAGTTCAATTTTACCAAGAAAAGAATAAACTGGTAGCCATCTCTCTCTTTCTGTCTCTGTGGCGCACCTTCCCCTCCTGCCACACTCCTCCCTCTCTCCCTCCCAGAAGCTCTCCTCTCTCCACCAAGTTATCTCCCCGTGTTTTATATCACAAGCACAAGACAACTGGATATGCATTTTATGTTCGGTGGGGAAGGGCAGAGAGATAGAGGAGGACTATCATACCGTGTTAAGTTCACCTTCACGTCCCTGTGGCTTCGAACCAGAATCAGTGGAACTGGTATTTTGCAGATTGTGCACAAATATTGAAACAGACTGGGCCTCTCTCTGAGCAAAACTTTTGTTTGGAGACTCATAAAATTCAGGTGCATAAGCAAACCATCCCAAAGCAGCACTGCAAGAAAAGACAGGACAAGCAAACTATATTATCAAGTACCATAACATGATGGGAGGAAACAGAAAAGATGCAAACTTGCATATCATTACATAAGCACGACGCATAAAAACAAATTTTGAATATTACATGAACATGTTTAATGAAGAGGTAGACGACGCATACAGAATACTCAACTGCACAGTATCAAGCTAATAACAAGAGATAAGTGTCCTAACCACATGTTCATAAAGTATTTTATTGAATTACCAAATGTAACTTTTAGCAACTGCAGAAATTGTATAGTACTAGTGTACTACTATCCACCTTGTGACGAATGATCTTCTCAACTCCCTAAACTTGCTAATGCTTGGACGTTTGCTCATAATCTCATGTAATTAACAGTATAAAGCATTGTGGTATGTAGTCAGCTTGAGAATCCTGTGGCATTCAGTTCTCGTCTTTCTCAAATGCATTATCTCTCTCTTAATTACACCCTTTATTCCCAACCTTCCCATCCTAATTGACTCTGACATCTTCCTCTTAACATGATTTCCAAATAAATATTATTTGCACCAATATGATTGAAAGATATAGAAAGCAGCAAACCAAATATTGCAGCAGAAATATCATAAAATACACTGAAGAGCAATATAGTAAGACAAGGAAACTGTGTAACGAATTGATTATTACCGGTATACTCTGTCCTCTAACAACTGAAGCCCCATATTACATTTCTGCAAGTTAAATTGATCCTGGCACAAGCAAAAGTTCAGACCAAGTTGCATCGCGGTAAAGAAAGTGCCAGTAGCAGCAGGATGGTGAGAAAAATGAGTTGGAGACTTCATCATCCCTTGCAGCATACGGCCTAGAAGTAGAAGTTGCTCAATGCTATCATGCCGAACCACCTGTTTAAATAACACGCACACAAGGTAGCTGATTAAACAGCACAACAAGAGAACAGCGGATGTATAAGACCTAGCTAGCAATCAATCAAAACATTGCGCAAAGGGTCAATAATGAATCTTCATTTTATCCTATGGAACATCACAAGGCGACTCTTATTTTGGACCACAAAAAATGCAAGCAACTTTAATTATGTACTGACGATAAAAGACATCAAGTTTTGTCACTTTTAGTACATACATAAAGATGGTTTAAAGACATAGTACGAGGGTAAGCAGCATTTGCTGATAATATGCAGAGAATAAATCAATCGCGTCACAGAATATAAGGTGCATCAACTTTCATGGAAGTCAAACATTTGTATGTTTGACCAAGATTATAGAATAAAATATCAACATCTGCGATACCTAATAGATAAACTATGACAATACTTTTCATGATGTATCAAATTATAAAAAATTGGTATTGTATACATTGATTTTTTTTCTAGAAACTTGGTCAAACATGCACAGGTTTGACTTTGAAAAAACTAATACACCTTATATTTCAGAACGGTGGGAGTAAGTAACGTAATTGCTTGCGAAGATGTGGTTTAGAAATGCAACACATTTGCAGACTACCAAAAGTACCGCCAGACCATAAACAAAAAAATATTACCCTATGGACAACCCTATATTCAAAATGTACAATTCTGATCAGTTTGAAGCATGTCTCAGCGCATTAATGAAAATCTAGATACTACTTGTGGTATAATCGACATATACTTCTGCCAACAGAACTGAAACCATTTAAACTGTTTATTATTCGGCACTGACTGGTGTCAAATATAGAAGTTCTACACCAGATAAATTAATCCTGAGATAAGTGACAAGTAAATACCAGGGGAGAAATTTCCTTTATATAACTGTAACTTTCCTTATTTTAAATTATTTTAGAAAGGCAGAATTTTCTTATGCATTATTTGTTTTTCTTCTCCCTCGCATATTTCCCTCCATATTATTTGGTCTGTCAAAATAGAACGTGTGAAGAACCCCTCTCTGCAGCAGCGGGTTTAAAAAAAAGTCAAGATTATAGTACTCCCTCTGTCCCATAATATAAGAACGTTTTTTACACTACACTAATGTCAAAAACGTTCTTATATTATGGGACGGAGGGAGTATGTCAGTAGATCTTCAGCGGTGATGTCTGTCATAATCCAAACAAGACACAAACTGAACACGCAAATTATACATCACAATACATTGTCATATAAGGTTCAACAGCTGTAGCATAAGAACAAGTGGAGTTTGGTTGCATGCACAACATCTTAGACAGGCAAAGAAAACAACTGTAGAAAATCACAAGGCAAACAATGAAAAAGTCTGGTTATAACCTCAAAGCGATCAATAAAGAAGCCAAGCCAGAGCCTATGGGCAATTATTGCTTCAACTGGATCCTTTTCTGGTGGTGCCTCAGGTTCACCAGCAATAAGATGTGGCCTCAATTTTGCATCAGGCCCACAGTACTTCATATCAGATGCAAACAAACCACGTTTTGTATCCATTGTCCACAGCCATGCATCAACAAGTTCCGCAAGCACAAGAGGACCTAAAGAAGGTGCTGCAGAAACTAGCCATGTCCAGATATAAATTCCAGTCTCCATTGCATCAGGGGTAGAAATATAAGCAGGGCACCAGCATAGAAGTCGTATAAGCTGAGAAAACCCTTCCAGATTCGTTCGAGAATCAGATACCTGTGTTACACATTAGAATACAATCAAAGCCAAGAACTAAGGAAGTAACAAACCACCTAGGTGCAAACAAATTACCAGATGATCAAGAAGTAATGCTGTAGCCTGAGAACAAGTTTCACGAAATTGTGAATTATCTATTGGTTGTTTTTCCGCCGTAACAACAAAGTCCTGAAGAAGCCGAACAAATTTGGACAGAAAAACTTCATCAAATGACTGTGGGGCCTGCCCAGACTGTGTACCAGGAGACACACCCATGTTTAAGCCGCCCATAGTACTGAACAGCCTTCTCATACCAGCAATCTCCCCTGCATGGTTACATTTCACAGTTGCACTCACTACTGCAGTTGACAATACTTCCAGGGTGATGTCAGGTGCTTCTTTTCTCGCTCCTGATGCTGCTGCAGCAGAATCCATAACTGCTGGGATATTAGCAGTCCTGATGCCATTCCAATCATTCTTTCCAATACAAATACGTATCTCGGATAAAAGTGAGACAACATCTGCCGTATGCTGCGTTCTTTGTGCACCACTCGGCTTGCAAAAGTTTTCCTAAACAATACCATTAAAAATATTAACAATCAATATATGCATTGGGTGGCGGGGAAACAAAGAGTGCAAACTTTATATGCCAGCTTAATGATGCCTCTGGCACAAAGCTTGTGCAATAAACGACTCAAGAAAGGCTGCCATATAAGTATAGTGTTGTGACTAAATCCTGAACCCTAAAATAATCCAGCAGTTGGTGCTCACAAGCATTTTGTATTGAGAAAACTATAATTGGGTATGCAAACGAGGATAAAGAAGGAATTTTGTAGTCACAAGGCGAGAGGAAGAATAGATAAAAGAGGCGACACTTACTGCTTTAAGAGCATAGATTGTTTACCAGAATAGTGTGAAAACTGAAAAGCATGCTGCACCAAATATCTAATGAAATAAAAAACAATGATGTTTCAGTCAAAGTAAAACTGTGCCCTACAAGTGACCTGCAGCCTTAACATTTACACGGCAATGACCCTGTTCTAACAATAAATCATGCATCGGCTTCATACAAAGTAAGAATAATGGTGCTCAAAAAGGCAAGGCCAAATAATGTTATATTGACTGAACCTGTATTAGGCCTTGAGTGGTACATGGAGCATATGAAAGAGCACTTGTTATCCATTCCCTAGCAATCTTCTGATATAGTGAGCGTATAGTGGCAACCCAAGCAGGATCACTGACAGGACCAGAAGTCAACTCATTATGAACAGATATTAGAAGTAAATCCAAGCATGAGGAGTTCCACAGAACCTGAAAGTTCAGTATACTAGTGTCATCAGTGTGGCTCAAAACAAATAACTAAAACATGAGAAGCCAAATCAAAGCACCTAACCTGTGGAAATTTTTCCTTTAGCTGAGTTAACAACTTAACACTCAGATCACGAACATGTTCATCCCTTTGTGACATGCTCTTTATAAGGAAGCCAGCATGAACGGAAAGAACAGATTCTCTCACATTAGATTCTTCGCCTATGTCAGACGTACGTTCCTCCTGGGAACATAAAATACACTTAATCTGGTGCACGGTTACAGCCTTACAGGTTACAAATTTCTCATCTCTCTAAAGATAAAATAACAGTAGTATAATTCGACAGATGAACTACAGTCTACAATGCAAAGTCGATGAACAGAGGACGGATAACACCAATGCAGATCAAATTCCTAATGTCTAATGTTGTATGATGCAACATCTAGAGCCGGTTTAAAACCTTGGAACAAGATGCAAGTAATGTTTGATGTCTCATACTGCCCAAAGGAAAACTAAAACATCTGTCTGCCAGTGCATCTTTGTGCATCTTTTCTAACAACTGGGTGTCTCAACAAGAATCCTAGATATGATAACATGCATCTGAAACACTAGGGAAATGTAAGTGCCTGGCAAAAGCTGTCAAGGATGCAACAATGGCGTAGAATGTGTGTTTCTTTCACAACAGAAAGCTGTAAGCCTTTTTTTACTTATAAAAATCGAAGTTGCCATGAGATGGGGAGTGATTTGATTCAACAGAAAACAACAGAGGACATAGCACATGACGGGATACAAAGACAACAGAACAAATATGATTACATACCAGCCATGACAACATTGTTTCAAAAGCTCTGTGCACAACTGCCGTCAAACACTGAGTTACTGCTGGTGTCAAGTTGGGAGTAAGCAGATACTCAAACACACAACCGAACGAACTATTTGATTTATTCAATGTAGCTGAAAGTATGCCACCACTGCCGCTAAAACGCAATATCTCAAGGAAAGCAACTGCGAGGAGATATGTAGCTTTAACTCCTGAAAATGAAAAAAATAATGTAAAAACAAATTAGTGGGATACTTCACAAAATTCCATCTCTCATGTGTACCATTCATGCGAATAAAGCCAGGGGAATGCAAATCCCGATAGTGGACGGCTAAAGCGTGCGGAGAATGTCAAGAGAGGGCGGGGTAGACCGAATTTGACATGGGAGGAGTCCGTTAAGAGAGACCTGAAGGATTGGAGTATCACCAAAGAGCTAGCTATGGACAGGGGTGCGTGGAAGCTTGCTATCCATATGCCAGAGCCATGAGTTGGTTGCGAGATCTTATGGGTTTCACCTCTAGCCTACCCCAACTTGTTTGGGACTAAAGGCTTTGTTGTTGTTGTTGTTGAATGCAAATCCCGATAATTCAGAACAAGAGGGAGGGCAGTGGCGAACATTTTTTTTATTTTCTTTTAAACTACAGATTTGCACTTGTGAAAGTTAATCCCTGTAGAGAGCAAAACAATAGCAAGAAGCAGTGGTTGGAGGTGTAAATTGTGCAAGTGCAGCAAATGGAACATAACAGGATGTACCTGTTGCACTATAATGAACTATAATTATGAGAAGAGAGGTTGGCTCTACAGGTAACTTCTGTAAGACCCGCTTTGTGATAATATTTTCAAAATAAATTGCACCGTGGATCCCTTCTTTTATGGTTCTCTCACTTGGGTTCAAAAAATGCAAACTCATCCTAGTAGGTCTCACTTGTAGGTCTCGCAGAAATCTGCATGTTAGACTGTTAGTTCAATCATCCAAATATGTGGACATTGAAGCGTTTCCCAGCTCTTTGATCTTTGTCATGTTCTGCACGTCATCCAGTATAGCAGTTGTGGGCCACCAAGGTGTGTCAAGCCATGGCATCTGGATCGTCAGACACATTGATGGGGAGGATTGGGCATGGCTTCCACCTGATATACTGCTCAAACTACACGAGGGCTGTGGGACTGCACATTCTGGTAGCTCAACTAGCACATAGATATGTGGGCCATTTGGCTAGTAAACTGCCAAGAATATTGTGAAACATAGGGACTTAATGAGACAGCCCTGCATGTTAGAGCATGTCCGATGCCGTCCATCAAAACAGACACCCTAAACGTCCGCGGACACGTCCGGACGTGTCCACGGACAGCGCTAGCGGAGCCGGACATCCAACCCTATATACATCAAATGTCCAACTGCTGGATCTGCGTCGGCTGGGCCTGCGACTGCTGGCTGTCCGGCCTCGGGGTGTTAGTCTGCTGGATGTTCACCTCCGGCCGGGAGTCGTCCACTTGTCCGTCTTCGTAGCCACCTCCTCATCATCCACCGTCGCGCCCGGCTGAGACATTCCGGCAAACAGAGACCGGGCACCGACGGGCGTGGAAGCGGGCATCCACGAACGGACAAGCGTCGGCGACTGCGACTGCGACTTTGTGAAGTTGTACTCCCCGTTGAGGTCGATGTTGTACGAGACGTGATGGCCGGCGCTGACGGTAGGCGCGGGCTGCTGCTGACCGAGTAGTGATGGCAATGGGTTTTACCCACGTACCCTGCGGGTAAAAACCCTATTAGGGTAAGGTATGGGATAAAAAGTTACCCATGGGTATACAAATAGGAAAATCTGAAACCCATCGGGTAGAGCGGGTACGGGTATGGAATCATACAACCCATACCTATATACCCATGTAGCCATATTAACGAGGATGGCCAAATTATGTCACACTTCGTGAATTTATGAACTCAAAATGTATCACTATGTGCTGCTATTTATGACTGTAATGTTGTTTTGATGTGTTGTTGTCTACGAGAAAGTGAAGTTGTTTATTAAATGTGTTGTTCTTTATGATGTGTTGTTGTTTATAAATTGTGACTATTTGTTGCTTTTTATGGATGTGAGTTGTACAAATTGACGCTTTGCAAACATGGTTAATTCTACCCACAGGTATAGTCAAGGATGATAGGTAAGCTCAAGGGGGGTGGGTAAGGGCGTGTTCGGTACTCCTCCAACTCCTGACTCCTCTAACTCCCGGCCAGGAGTCCAACCGAACGGCTCCAGTCCAGGATTTACAGGAGAGAAGCTGGCTAAAAATGTAGTGCAAAATCTGTGGAGTCGTGGAGTTGGGAAATCGCAGCTCCTCCAAAACTGGAAGCGAGAGTTGATAGGTAATTACCGGCCCTTGCCACCGCCAAGTGAATTCTTCTCGTACCGGTTCGCTCCCAGTCTTTTCTCTCGTCGCAAGTCGTCCCTCCCTGCAGCATTCCCCCCTCCTGTCCCCGACCAGGCCTATGGCCCATCCCATCTTTCCCACACCTTGGACTGCCAGCTTGTTCCTAATGGGCCACAAAGGGGCGATTTTATGGGCTTCAGGTTTGCTCCCTCGTGCGAGCAAGAAGCGGTAACACCGAACTGATCGCTAGCTCCGGGATCGATCGTGAGAAGCTGGAGCTCGATTCCGGGAGTTGGAGTTGAGGATTTATCGACCACGGAGGGCTACCGAACACGCCCTAAAGGTATGGGGTGGCTCCACCCATACCCAAACCCTGTGGGTGCCTTGTGTGGCGGCAAAGTAATATGGCGGAATCATCTGCGCCGGACAGGGCGGAGAAGATTGCACGACCGGCACCCGCCGAGTCGCAAGCTTTATCGGACGCCTAACTGGGTGACCAGCCGCTGGCAAAGCATCCTCCCTCTTCCTCTGTTTGTGGCGGCGAGTGGTGTGCGTCACCGTGTTGACCTTGCGAGCAGCCAACACCAATGAATCCTCCGCCTCAGGCCCGTCGGGAATACGAACATCTCCGTCGGTACCTCATCCTGCTCCATCATGACGGTGGACAGCGAAACGAGCGGCAACTGAAGTAGGTGGCGACGGTGATCGGAGTGGAGACAGTGGGGAAAGGGCAGGCTTTCGTGCGGAAACAGTGCAGGAAATGTCCAAATGCATAGGCTCCGCCTCGCTTTTGTGCGGGCCGGGTGTGTCGGAGTCCAAGGTGGCAGCTGTCCGGACGTTTGCAAACCTCCCCCAAGTTTTTTTCGAGAAAACGCAAAGGACCTTTGTTTTTCATTGCATTAAAAAAAATAGGTACAGGTACAATCCTCCTAGAAGGTGGGGTTTACAAAGAAACCTCCCCTGGGTTTCCTTCTGGTTGCAGGAATTCAGACGTGCGGACGTTTGATGTACGGCGTTGGACGGTACAAAGTGTCCGAACAACGCGGTCCGGACGTATATGGGCGGTTTGATGCACGGTGTTGGAAATGATGCCCTTAGGTACCTATAATGCATCACACTCATCCTATATACTTAAGAAGTTCATCCTCACTACAGGATTTATGTCTACATGCAGCCTGCCCACATCAGCAATCTCGCCACATGAGCAAGTCTTGTCTTCCGTTTCTATTTGCATGATGCCACGTCGTGGCTTCCGTAATCAGCGTACGAGTATGTTTCTCTTTTTAAGACAGTCACCCAAGCCAAGCTATTGTTTCGTCTTCTGCCTTCAGTAACCGACCAGTCTTATGATCGCTAAATCCTTCAACAGTCAAGCCACCGATTCGTCTCCTAGTAGAAATTGCTCCTGCATAAAGCCCAATCCTCCTCACATGCTCCCTTGGCTCTCCCACGGTCCTGGTCAAGGTAATCACCCCATCTTCCATGCTCTCACCATTTCTAGGACCGACTAATTAGTAGACGCTAACTCTGGCTTCTTCTCACTTCCGGCTGCCTTTCTTCTTCGAGGCGCATATACGTTGCATCAGACCACAGGAGGGGACTCGAGCTTCCTATCAGTTTCTACTTCATAGATAGGTATGCGTTGTTTATGTGATCGGAGTTGTTTTATCTCACCGGCAAAAAAGAAGAGATGGTTTTCTCTAAAGAACAGGGAATGCTTACAGCAAGTCTAATCGTCTAGGTTTTACCAATCCAGTAAGCAATCCGTCCAATTCGCCGTCCTTAGATAACAGTGGAAATAAAATTTTGTTACTATCCTGCTAATACTCTGCAATTCGTTGAGCTTATATCAGTGCAATTGATGAGATTTTATTCAATCAGTCGTGCTACAATTGTGATACAATTTACATAATCTGCTACAAAATTTTACACATTTAAGTTTTTTTTTGCGGGTACACATTTGAGTTTTCAAGGATATGAAGAGTCATCAGCTTCATGTCATCGCCTTTCTTCTTCCATTCCCAGAGCCCTTGGACTCATGAGGAACTGTGTGGGGATGTGGCTCATGGACCCAAATTATGATGGAGAAGGTGTGCTAGAGCTCAGTTACAGAGAGGCTACCTCAAGGTGCACGTGTATGGTGTACATCTGGTGCAGTTGTAGTAGAGGAGCAAGCCTAGGTAAGGTAGGGAAGTAGCATTTGCAATGGACAGAAGCAGATTTTTTTTTTTACTATATGTAGAAACAACACAGTGTCGTGGCAGCTGCGGTCCGTTTAAGGCACAGTAGCACGAGGAAATTGGAGAATGAGGAGTCCTGGGCTGCACACAATGGATAATACCAACATTATAATTTTTAAGAGGTCTCTCTCTCTCTCGTGGGCGCGCACACACACACATTCAGACATTTTCATAATATTTTTATTTGCATTTCCTCACTTGGACTATGATGGTAGTTCGTTGGTACAAATGTTAGATCGCTCAAACTAAATAGGTATTTTTGAGATATCCTGCTAAACTTAGATCACTCTAATTGATGTTTTGCAATATATTAGCAATCCAACACATTAGCAATGCGTTTATCGACTACAATATACTAACTTTCTACCCCGCAAAAAATATACTAATTTTCTGTCCAATAAAGATTCAAATAAACATATATTTTCATATTTCTTTAGTGGTTACACTATTTTATCACTGTAAATCCTTCTTCTATGCGGCGCTACAAATTCCCGTAGCAACGCACGGGGCATCATCTAGTTTCTAGAGTTTCTTTGTTATATTTGATGGAGGGCAATTTACATTTTCTGGAATCAAACAACTAGCTGCATAAGCCGTAAAGCACTCAACAGAGAATAAACATTGACCTGAAATTGTACTCATTGCTGCTACCTCAACTCGACCTCCCAAAGCTGCAGAAAGTGCAGTTCTCTGTCCAACAGCTGCCTTTTCATCACCATTGCCACGACGACTGCCTGGATTATGCAGAGCATTTAACTCTAGCTCATCTTCAAGCCATTTCACTGAACTGACAACCTGAAATGTAAAAAGTATACTTGTGAGATACGAAGTCACACAGTAATTCTGAATTTTCCAGTGAATATTATATACCATTTTAATTTATACAATCCCGTGTATCATACTCTTACCAAGTATTGTAGTATCCATATCCACAAAATACAATAAAAACAGGCCCCTTTTAATGAGAAGTGGTATATTTATTTTCTAAGTTTTCCAAAACATCTAGACAAGCATCATACAAATTACAACTTCACAGTTAAATTCACTGATCCAAGTTTATTCCCTGAGCCTACCACACAGTCCTTCCAGAGATAAAATGATATTTATTCATATATCGGCCTGCTAAAAGAAAGCTAACAATAATATGGGGAGCACAAAGAGCTGTATGCAAAGTATACATTATATGAACCACATCTGTCCCCCTTCCATTACAAGCTATGTATGCTCAGTGACAGGAAATGAATTCAAACAAGTTCAGACTCCTAACTGCAGTATAATAATACTGTTTCCCAGCTCTTTGGTCCTAAAAAACTTACCAGCGGCGGAGATCCTTGTGCAATGCGTTGCACTGCTACAGACCATTGGCTATTCCACATGTAGGGTCCAGCAACAGCTTGCAGGGCTACACAGCTCTCCCCAGTGTTTAACGGAGTGGAAACAGGTTTTGTAGATGCCTGGTTGTTCTGTATCGGAGGAGCTAAACCAAACAAGACAATATAGAACCACAGGTTGCGAAACAATTTCAATAGAGATGGCTCGACAGAGGACACTGGATCAAAATCTGAACATATTTCAGCAACCGCAGGAAGTAACGGGCCCATCAAATCAGCACCACTCCTACAGTAATGACAATTACAGTAAGCACGGACAGTTAACTAGCACAAGCATAAGAGATGAAATAAAATTGTGTATGATAAATGAAGAGGGTACAAGAAAAGAATACCACGTACAGAATCAGGTGATACAACGTTAGTATTATACAAATTAGTAGATGGATTTATAATTTTACATGAGAGCCATTTAACCTTCGCAGGGAAAGCTACAAGGGCTAGATTGTTTCCTTCAGACTCTTCTATTTTCAAGAGGTGAGGGTCCCTACAGCTCCCGTCCAAAATTAAAATCAAGATGGCACGTAAAACATATTTACAAAACAAAATACCTGTAGAAAGTGTATACTCGATGACCAGAGTCTAGCAAAAAAATTGTGGCATTTAAACCAGAAAACAAAAATAAATCCTAGGAAACTCATACAAAACCACAAATGAACAGAGACAGACACTCATGACTGTTCGTTCATTCACACCATGGTGAGTTAAGTATATCACAATCTAAGCAATACAACCTCCAGTCCATAATAGATGTTATTTGACTTGAAAAAGGTCCAGTTTTTCAACTCGAAACTCTCCCTTAAGTCCAGTTTTCAACCCTGAACTCTACAACTGTCTTGAGTTACAACCTCAAACATACAAGAAAACATATTGGCGCCTAGCAAAAAGTGTGTACATCATTCAAGACTCAAAAACAAGATATATTTTAGCTTAAGAATAGAAAAATAAGACTGATGACAAAGCATCTCACCTCCCACTTTTAGATTCAGCGGCTAGCCCCACATCAGAGCACAGGGACAACAACCTATGACGATAATCAGATCTGAGTTTTGTGCTAGTGAGGTTGGAAGCAACAAGTAAGAAACCTGCGGGAAGAGTCTAGAATTTTGTTGACACAGTTAGCATGGAACATGAATCAAAATTACAACTCTATGATAGTATATAATGTAAATTTCTTATTGGACTCATCACAGACCTCTGTTCGCTCAGCTGTTGCTTCTGATGGCAATGTGTTGTTCTCTGCAGCTCCTACAGCTTTAACCTTATCCAGGTAGCTTCTTGTCATCAATACAATGCTCTCACGGTATGATTTTTCAAAACCCAAGCATGCCACACGAGATATTGCATCTAACGACTGCAGTAGTTTAAATTAATTGATTGCCATAAATGTGTTTGCTTAAACTTGAAACAATATCATCAAAAGTGACACATGGTAAGTATGTTAATGGGTAAGAGACAAAAATTCCATACTTTTAGACGCAATAAACTTGGAGCTGAAGCGTCACCCTCCTCTAGATGTTCAATGAAAAGGGGCAAGATCATGTCTACAACTTCCCATCTTTTCAAGCATACACACAACTCAGCCAGAAGGCGTACTACATTAAGTCGCATCACCGGAACTGTGTCTTTTCCTTTACCATCCTGCAATAGATTCACGCCTCAGTAAACAACCAGCCATTGACAGTTAATCATGCTACCGTGATGCATATCTTTAGTCGCTACAGTTAGCCAGTGTAAGTCCCATAAAGGAAGACTGACGGCAGCAGGGAAGCTTAATTTTTGTATAGAACACATTTTCCAAGTTCCAAGAATTTAAATTTCAGAATGACCCACCCTCAACAGTAAAACAAAGCAACGGGCAGAATTATGGTGCTTGTAATCTGCCATATCATGTATCTGCGACTCTGGTAGAAGAGATATTCCAAAATGTGCTAGATCCATCGCAAAAGACTCAACTAGAAAATCAAAACAAAGATCATGTAGCTTGTTCTGCTTGCTGCTGGAAATTATTCTGATACCATGGGGAATATTGTCTTGATATATAACCTACCAGCACATCAGGTGATGACGCTGCAACTTTCTCCATGCACCCAAATAATGCAGCATACTATTACTAGGTTGAAATAAATTAAGGGTGGGTGCTTCCAGATTTCTGTGGTTGGATTAAATTAGCAGAAGGCTATATGACTATCTATTTCTTTGCTTACAGCACTAAAACACCCATGAGCCTAAATTTGTAAGAAGAAAAAGGAAAAAAAAACATAAGTGATTGGAGTTTTACCGCAAACAGAATACTAGCTGGATACTCATGTTTTATGAAAGCCATGCAAACTTATGACTGATATTGCCTTCTCGTTATCTTTCATCTTAGTGAATGAGGAGAATCCAGGTTATCAGAATAAAAGTTTATCTGGTAGGCATATTAGTATTATCCCCTCCAGTTCAGAAAGAAGAGTTACAGGTAAAAGCTTCTTTAACATGACCAGTGCCATATATATTAATATCTAGATTGACAACTTTCCACAGGAAAATGACACCAGTCACCAGAATGTTCGTGATTAAAATCACTTTCCTAATAATAAATCTGTTATTATTTTTACTACCATACAACCATGAATATTGGCAGTCAAAATGAAAAAAAATATGGACAACACGCTATGTAATAAATGTAAAGAAACAATACTCCCTCCGTCCGGAAATACTTGTCCTCGAAATGGATAAAATGGATGTATCTATAACTAAAATAAGTCCAGATACAACCATTTGGAGGACAAGTATTTTCGGACGGAGGGAGTACTAATTTTTGGACTGGTATAGAGCACATGGAAAGATTAATTGAAAACTCACAGGTCATGAGTCTACCACAACATAAAGAAGTTTATGGCCTCGTAGGAAAGAAGATAGCATCAATATTGTCTAGTCTAACCCAAATACAGAAAAAGTAAACACAGTTATAACTGTACAAATGATGCATCGTAGTATCTTGAAATTTTTGAAGATTTTAGGCGGACTGAGAGCACCAAATGCATGACCTTCTAGCTGTTTGCTGAGGTGATAAGTTCAGAAAACATCGCTTTTCAGTTCTCGGTTCTTCAATGTGCTGGCATGGTAACTTGTCTATAACCAAGCATTTTATGTGACTGACACATGCTGATTGACAACAATTTTAAGCATCTTGCGCAAAGTGACATCAAGTAAGGTTGGCTTGTGCAACTATGCCCTAAGGGTTGCAGGAAACCTTACTAGGGCATGGAATTTTCATGTGGTGACAAAAATTAAGAAGAATACCTCTTCCTCATAATCATTCCGTTCACGAACATATGCAGCTAAACGCATAATGAATGTGTCAACTAGAGCCCTATCCTTTGTCCAGCCAAACTCTATGATCTCACAGCTCAACTTCACCACTGCCTCGAACAAAGCACCAGGGCTACAGCCCGTCATGTCAGCCTGCAAGGGAATGATTGATTTCACATTAGGCAACACCTCCATAAAAAAAACCAGTAGTCCAAACAAGAGAAGCATGAGACCAACATACCTGCGAACATGTGCTGACAACAAGCGGTTTCAAGGGAATCAGCAGAACCGGCAGGAGCTGGCCCCCACGCGAGACTGTTATCTGGCTGATCCCATTGAGCAGAGTGCAAAAGAGCTCCTCACAAATCTTGAGTTTTCGCCAGGATGAGAGGATGCACGACTTGGTGGCTTCGATGAACCAAGCAAGAGTCTGCTGAAGCATGTCCTTGGATGCTTTGCTGTCAGCGTCCAAGACCGAGACACTCCGGACCAGAACCACCACCGCAGCTTGGCAACACGATAATTTGGTGTTTATCCTCACCCTCAGTTGTGCACCCTGCTCCTTCCAGTCCCGCTTCCTAATCTGCCAGCCATCACCTCAAGCATGATCAGACCGCAAGCAAACATCTAGCTCAACCATGTACACGCGCAAATGCGAATGCAGACACCGACAGGCGATATACAGATGAAGGGAGAGAAGAGAAGACACCGGCTCACCTTGAGAAAATCCGTGAGCGAACGGACCTGCCATGCGGCAGCATTCCTGACCTTGGCAACCTTGTTGGCCTCCAGCCCGCCCTCGCCCCCGAGCATCTGAACGATGAGCCTGAAGGCGACCTCCTTGCGCTCGAGGGCCTCGATCTGCTCCCCCTCGAACCTCTGCACCGCCTCCTTGATCCCTCCATTCTGCTCCCCCGCCGCGTCCTCCCCCTTCCCCTTGGCCCTGGGCGGGGCCTCGTCGGAGCCAGGGAACTCGAGGAAGAGGCGCTGGGCGACGGGCGCGGTGTCGGCGGGGAGGAGCTGCGGGGGCTTGGCGGCCGCGGCGGAGAGGAAGGCCCGGGCGAGCGGCGCGGAGGCGGGGTCGGCGGCGTCGAGCGCGGCGAGGAGCGCGGCGGAGAGCGCGGAGGAGAGGGCGGGGGAGGCGGGCGCGGCGGCGAGGAGAGGGAGGAGCTTGGCGAGGAAGGGCGCGGGCGCGAAGGACTGCGGCCAGAAGGCCGGCGCGAGGAAGGCGCGGGAGGCGAGGAAGGCGAGGAGCGGGGCCGCCGGCGGGCCGGCGCCCGCGGGGAGGAGGCGCGCGAGGGCGAGGAGCGAGTGGAGGTGCGCCCGGGTCGCGCGCTGCGCGGGGGACGCGGGGGACGCGGGCGGCGCGCAGCGGGAGGTGAGCCAGGTGAGCTTGTCGGCGAGGAGGAGATCCGGGTGCGCGGCCACCAGGTCGCAGAGCTCGTTCAGCGCCTCCATCGGGTTACCGCGCGCGGCAATGCGGTCAGATCATGGGGGGGTCGTCGCCGCTGCGGCCGCGACGCAGAGCGGATCGGGAGCGGAGGGAGAGGGGGACGGGGAGGGGAGGGCGGAGACGGAGATGTGCGCCCCTCTCTTTTTTCTCTGACGCGAGAGTGATTGGTGGAGCCGAGGACGACGAGGAGGGCCTTTCTCTCTCGGGTTGGGTAGTAGTTTTTGGTCGCTCGGCGAAATGTTGGGGACGGCAGGCAGACCGGCCAGAGAGGAAGGGGCGAGAAGGCGAGACCGGATCCGACCTTTTCTTTTCTTTTTCTTAATTAGCGATCTTGTTTAGAAAAATGGTTGACATGGAAAAAATCTTTTGTCAACCTAGGTTTGGTTGGTTAATTCGATGATCAAAGTTAAAATTTTGAAATGGACGCGTGCCTTATTTGTGAAAATAGAGAGTGACTCGTTGATGGTGGTGTTGTACTCCCTCCGTCTAGGTACATTGGACGTATTAGTCTCGACGACACCACCAAGACTCGGTGAAATTAATTAGCGCATCACCCGCAAAAAAAAAGAATGATGAGATAAATGATGAGATGGAGGAGAGATAACTCATAAGAGAAGGCTTGTCTTCTCTTATTTAAGATAAGGCAAGAGATGATCTCTTAACACAATATGTCTCACCACATTTTTAGGAATTGCTAGTTATTGAAGATAAGACTAAGAGATGACCCATTGTAGACATTTTTTTTGTCATCTATAAATTACATGCAAAACTTAAGATAAGACTATCTTATCAACCATTGTACATGCCTTTACTGTCCTGTTCGCATATTTGGCTCACGAAGTTAATTACCACTCTACCCTAATGAATGATGGCGACTAATAAAATTAAATGCCTAGTTTTGATAGAGCGTCCAATGCACCCAAACAGAGGGAGTATTGATATGTCTTCGATTTAAATCTTCGACTACACCGGACAAACATGTCTTTTTTAAAGATCACCTGACAAACATGTGAGGTGGCCTTAATGGGGCAACAACTTAGCGATTGGTGCTGAGGTGCAAAAAACTTGTCGTCAGCTTCAATGGTGTCAAGGTGCAAGAGCTCGGTGATAGACTCTCATAAGTTGAAACGTCTGTTTTTTTATAGGCAGGTAATTATCTTAATAAAATGCAAATAATTAATACAATAATTCTTAATGCAAGCACATAAAATGGGATATACACGACACACGTGTAATTAATATCACGATGTAAATTCGTTGTGTGCCCCCACAAATAAAAGGTCGTTATATACCACACTCGTCTTATGG